TTTTATGGAAACGCGACGAATCCTGCGCCGGAACAGCTGTACGTTTCTTGTCCATTCTCGAACGATTCCTACGAGTCTTTCCCGTATCGGTTAGATCTTTTGGTAACCGGCGATACGTACAGCTATAGCAAACAGTACATTTTCAACGTTCCTCGACAAGAATCGATCGGTAAGTAGTCGGGTCGAATGTCGTTTAGTCGTAGACCGAACGGTTAACGTCCCCCTTTTTTCTGTTCAGAAGAAGGCACGAGCGTGCAAAGGTACGCACCGTTCGTGTACATCGACACGACGTACGCCCCTCGTCACTCGTTACACATTCAGCCTCTGCCGGATTCGTACAACGTGTCGGAGTATAGAATTCGCTTGATAAACAATGACACGGATTCCGTGGTGCACGAGGAAGGGTTCTCGGCCGCTAGCACGCGAGAGATCTCGTACAATTTTACCGATCATACCGGTGTGTTCTACTTCAAAGTGTTCGCTGTGCATCCAGACTGCGGGGAGTACGGGTGCGCGAACAGCACCACGCCGTTCATCATCATACGTAAGCAAGGAAAAATCGTATCGGAGAATCCGCGTATCCGCGTGCGTTGCGCGTGTTGACCTAGAGTGTTTTCTGCTTTTACAGAGGAAGTGTCTCACCGACTTCTGATCATGATTATCAGTACAGTTTGGATACCGCCAGTGATACTGTACGTTCTTTATCATCTTTACAAGTTGTATAGAAAGGGTAATGTTGAGATCCTAGACGTTTTAGCGGAGATGCTTCCTCGGGTTCGAATTATACTTACATTCGCGTGTTTCGCACGCGTCCACGTTTCTAGAGGGATTGAAACGCAGACGAAAGCCTACCTGTCTCTTGATTTATTCGCCGACGCGTTTGACGCATATCAACGCGATGAACGAGTTAGCCAAATATTTGAGAAATTCTAACATAACGGTGATAGACACGCTCCACGTTGCGGACTCGACTGGAAAAGTCAGTAGGAAGCGTAACCCGTAACGAATCGCTTTTAATCGTAGAGCACGATCAAGGTATAACGGTTCTCCCGCCAACTCACGTATTCTCGATTTTTCCGTTGCTCCAGGATCCGAAGGACTGTTACAGCGACGCGTTTCGAAGCGCGGACGTTGTCCTGGTCGTGGCTTCTCCGCCAGCCAACAAGTCCACCGTGTCGTTCATTTATTGCAACAAGGATAATCACCTGTTCAAGTTGCTCAGGGAGAATCAGGCCACGAAAGAGAAGCGGTATTTCATCGTGCAGTTGCCGTACTGCAAACCGGAGGATGTGCCCGAGGAGACGAGGCATCTAAAGAAATTTTCCTTGCCGAAGGAACTGGCCAGGCTGGTGAAGGTTATTCATAAAATGGAATACGTCGGCTGCGTTTGCGTCTCCGACAAGGACTTCCTGGACAGCGTCAAGTTAGCAAAGTTGGAGATGCTCGAGGAGGATGAAAGTTCTTCGAGGGAAGCACGAGAGACCGGTTAGTTTCCGTTGTTGATTTCCTCCGATTGCTTCTCCCGCTCGCAATCGATATTTATAACTTTCCTCGGTGAATGTTCCAGAAAATCTGTTAACCTCGGGACCCGAGAAAACGTCGGACAATCCGAGTCCCGCGGCGTCACTGGGGAAAGGTAACGTCGCGTCCGAAGCTTTCGCGACGAATATCGACAAATTGGATTTACTCGGGGGGACCGAAACCGACGGGGAACCGGCGTTCCCCCGCGATTCCTCGGCGAAACACGCCGACGCGTTTCGCGTCGACGAATTGGACTTGTGAGTTGATCGTTCGAAAATGAAACCGCGATACGGTTAGGTTCTGCTCGTTTTCGTAACACTGTTTCCACCACGGACGCCGACGGAACGATGTCTTTCTCTTGTATACCTGTTGTACCGACTGAATAAACGGGAAAACTTGTTCGTCGCTCTAGCCTCCCTGGTCTTTGCGTTTATTCGCCGCATCTTCTTTCTGTTCGTCCAATGAAATTTATTCAATTCATACCAAGACATTATTAGGTACAAGAGGGTAACGATGCCCACGGTAACGGCCACATTCAGAGGGGGTGCATCATTTTCGTTAGAACTAGTCAACTTAGAAGAATCACGAAACACGATACAGCAAATATACTAACTAAACTCGTACGCGAATCTTTGTGCGATAAACGATTATTACCGTGCGTCGACCGACTAACGTAATGGAATGCTATACTTTATACATAAATACAAAACCGACTTGTTCGTTCGGATACACTTATCGCAATTTTCCTTTCGTTTCGTTTCGTTTCGTTCGTTCGCGATGGCGTCGCACCATGATAATTACAGAAGCGACGTTAGGTACGCGTTGTATCGTTGTAGCGTGCGCTCGAAAGCCGGGGAAGCATGTGCGCTGAGAAAAGCGTATTTCGTTTTGCTCGAAGCTCGAACGCTGCGCAATTACACATCTATCCGCGCGGCAGCATCTCGGCATTCCAACGGAGAGTATAAGAGTAGAAAGGTGCGTGGTAGTCGTCTACGTAGAAACATTCGATACGTAAAAATTCGAGTCTTCTCTCGGCGTCTCGGAATTCCGTTCGATCGAACGAAACGCCGCCGTACGCTCGCGATTCGGCGCAGCCTGTAGACTTTTACCGTTCGGATGCTCGATCGTTTCTTCAGTTGTCTTCCCTCTCGTTCTTCCGATCGCGTTCACCGGCGAGGACGAGGAGGTTTTCGGATTCCGGGAACTTTTTGCCTTCCATGTCGATGTAGGAGTGTGGGCGTTCGTTGGTCGGGGTGACCAGGTCGTTCTCGCTGTCGCTCGCGACGCTCGCGTTTCGCGCGAACTTTATCGGACTTTCGTAGTGATTTTTGCGCAGGTTCGCTCGTTGCTCGTTCACGTAGGACGGTTTGATCCGTTCGTCGGGGAAAGACGCCACGGGTGCTTGCCAGAGCGTGTGGAGCTTGTCGATTTTGTCGGACTTGGTCACCGTGTCGAACGAAGGCTTCTCGAGGTAGTTGAGCGCGTTGTTCCCAAAGACGATGTGCTCGCCGGTGGTCGGGTCGTCGGGCTCCTCGTTGCCGGAACCTGCGGCGTCGGAAGGTACGTGATTCGGAGCGGACGGGAAAGGACGAGAGTCTACTCACTGCTCGGGCTGTCCAACGCGTGAAGGGAGGCAAAGTACGATCTGTTTTGGACCGTTCGCGGATTCAAGTCCAAGTAATCGATGCTATCCTCCAGCATTCTTTCCCAGTGGCCGGTCAGCTCTTTGAAGGACGGTCTCGATCCTGGCTCCTGGTGCCAGCAGGACACCATCAGTTTGTACCTACGGAGAGACGTTGAGAGATTTGGAGGGATCGATCGCGACACGATCGACGCGTGTACGACAGATCGAGGGAATCGCTTACAACTGCTGGGAACAGTTTGCCGGCCTCTCCATGCGATATCCGGCTTTGAGTAGGTTGTAGAGATTGTGCACGTCCACACCGGGATACGGAGAGGCGCCCAAAGTGACCAACTCCCACAGAAGCACACCGAAGCTCCAAACGTCCGACTTGCTGGTGTACACGTGATCGGCCAGGGATTCCGGTGCCATCCACTTGACGGGCACTGCGCCGGCGAACCGTGAAATGTTGGATTAAACCAGGATCCTCGGAGATTTAGGTTTCGCGGTGTACGTACCTCGTCCTTTGCTGCGCTTCAAGTACGCGTCGTCCTCGTAGACGTCCCGCGTCAGCCCAAAGTCCGAGATCTTGCAAACTTTCCCGGTCGCGAGCAGCACGTTCCTGGCGGCGAGGTCCCTGTGAACCAGCTGGCCGACCACACGCTATTTAGTTTGCGCGATTCAACGGCCGTCGGTCGCGTGTTACCTTGATCTCGGCGAGGTAAGCCATTCCTTTGCTGATTTGCCAAGCGAACGACAGAATATCGCGAGAAGTAACGGTGTGAATGGAGGTCGGCGCCGCGTTCGCGTCGGCGTCGGCCTCCCTGTCCGACTCCACGTTCGCCGTCGTCTCGTCCGATTCGGCGATTCGCGAGCCGTCGTCGCGAACATTGGACAGCGACGAGCATCCGCCGGCGTGCCTGCCCTCGGAATCCAAATGTCGGCTACGTCTCAAATAGTTGCTGCAAAGAGCGCGCGTTCTTAATATCGGAGGTTGCCAGCAGTGGGATATCCCTCCGTTTAACGTTATTTCCCCAGAAAAGGTATTTCTCGCGGGGGAAGAATTTAATTACGCTACAGCCCGGTTATTGCCCCGACGCGTCGCCGTTGCGACGCCGTTGCGACGCCGCCGCGAAATTCCACGGTCCGGCAACTCGCCTCGCCGGACGCGCGACGTTACTCACCGCAAAGAGCCAAACTCCGCAAACTCGATGATCAGATAGACCGGTGCGCCGGGCGTGGTGCACGCGCCCAGCAATCTGATCACGTTCGGATGCTGGACCTCCTTCAGCAACTGGTATTCCGAGAGCAGGTCGGCGAGCTCCGAAGCGCAGGCGTTCTCCTTCAAAGTCTTGACCGCGACCGTCGTCGGACCCGGCGCGCCTTCGATGTCGATCGCTTCGGCCCGCAGCACGCGACCGAATTCTCCTTCGCCCAGCACTTGCTCGATGGTCAACCGCGATCGTGGAAATTCCCATTTCGGGTCCGACTGGCCGGCGGGGACACATACAAAGTTCTTTGTCAGAAAGAGAAGAAGGCTCGGATGAAAAGCTTTCGAGAGACTTACCACCGGGTAGCTCTTCGGAAGCAGCAGGTGACGATTCGCCGCGGTGAACGTGTCCAGTCCGATGAACAACCCGTCTCCTCTGTCCATGCGATCGGACGGCGACGCGCCGATCGCGATCGCGTCTCCGTTCCCCGTTCTTCGCTTGCCCTCTCGACGCGTCCCCTTTGCGGACATTCTATAGTTTCGAGAAACACGCGCGAAAACTTTCAGCAGAGAGTTTGTTCATCGAGCATATCGCTTGCGGTTTGTCGCGTCGACGATACGGTACCTCCGCGCGTACGTATCGACGGGAGAAAAAATTCCCGGAAACGTTCCCGCCCGCGCGGTTGGCGTTCCGCGATCAGTTTTACGACGGTCGGTTTACAACTTTAAACGAAAGACGGGCACCGGTCGCTCGCCGAGGGGTGGTTCGAGAGAGAAATCGATAGCGCACCTTGATAAGCGTATCTACCTAAGCGCGTCCCCGAAATATCGCCGAGGAACACGGCGCGCCGATATCGCGTTATCCGGCGAGAAACTCGATAGCTCTTTGTCGAGCGAACGATTCGCCGAATCCGATCGCGCGAGCACAACGGGTTCGTTCGAGAATTATCGGCGATCCCCTTGCGCTATCGCGCGTCGCGCGAGCCAGCCGTGTTTGCGGCAAACATCGGATTCGTTGCCGACGGACAAACCTCCCGTCCCCTCGCATACCTGTATCTCGAAGTGACGAACGAGCCGACGATAGCGATCAGCACGAAGAAACTGCCACCGATCGCTCCGATCATGCAGAAAGGACCGCACGGGCCGCTGGCCCGATCGAGCTTCTTCTCTGTGGAATTGGAACTCTGATTGGGGAGAGCTGCCGGAGAGGATGAAAAATCGCGGAACGTCGCGCGAGTACCTTTTCGAGCGTCCGAAACGAGATTCTCGTTCTCCCGTTCTCGGAACTTGCCATCCGCGGCGTCTTTATCTCTGCCGGAATGATCGCTCCGCGCGGAAAACTGCTCGACGTTGCAGGTGCACTGCAGCATGTCGTCGCACGCGCAAGTGCCCGCGCCGCTCTTGATTCCCCGACCGTTTTTGTTCGCGTGGGCGAAATGCACGTTCGCTGAAACACGAGGGTCGCGTATCGGTCGTCTTTCCGGCGAAACGGTGGAAAACTCGAGTGGCTCGATCGCTTACATTCCGGGGCGCAGTCTTGCGGGCATATGCGAGGGTCCAGCTGCTCGAGTTCGTCGCATCGGTTGTCCGGGCAGTGGGTCAAGTCCGGAGAACAGGTCGGGTAATGGTCCGACATGCCGCCGGAGACGTCGTTCGACCGCTTGCTGCGCCTCCACGCGCACCGTCCGGAGTAGCTGCCTTTGCTGAAACCCGAAACCCGAAACCGCGAGATCGCACGAGAGGGCGAGAGGGCGAGAGCGCGAGAGCGCGAGACCGCGAGGGATTCCTCACCTGAAGACTCCGCTGGCCAGGCCGCAGCTCGACTCGCAATCCTCGGCGGTTTCCGCGTTCGCGCAAGAGTGCGAGCGCTCGGTGCGGTTGCACGCGTCCACCTTGGCCGCTGGCACGGTCGACAGGTTCACCCGGATGGTCCTCGAGGACGAGGCGGCGCTCGACTTGCTCCACTTGATCGTCAGGCTGCAACGAGAAGACGCCGGTCAGTCGCGCCGCGAGTCGGTCGCCCAAGCGAGCGCGAGCTTACAGCAGATTGTCGGGCTCCGTCTCGAGGCGACGCTCGTCGGCCACGTAGACGATGCCTCCCCTCGGGGTGACGGCGAACGCTGTCGAGCCGTTGATGCCGAAGCTGATCGAGGCGGCCGGCTCGCTGGACGGTCTCGCGACTCGCGAGTACCGGGTCGCGACTCGAGCGATCCTCACGGTCGAAGGATAGGAAAACGGCTGCCTGCTCGCCACCGAGGACGCCGTCGTGGTGCTCGCTCGGTGATCCGATCCGTAAAAGTTCACCGTGATGTTCAGCTGGAACAGAAATTCGATCGAAAAGCTTCTCGCGCCGCAACGATCGCGAGGGAGCCCGGAAATTCGTCGCGGGGATAACGAGAAGCTTCCGCCCACGCGAGCAGCGATCCCCATTAATTCCCGTTTACCGCGATCCCTGGAATTTCCACGTCTAATCGTTTAACGATCCGCTTCGCGATTACAGGGAAGAGAGAGTAGAGTGGTGGGTAGACTGTCCGAGGTGTAGCGAAATTATCTGGAATTTTCGTAATTCTCGTCCGCCCTGCGCCGAGCGGCCACGTTCGATCGTAGCTGTGCGGTGGGTCGCTCGATCCGCGATTTCCATCGAGAGGAGAACTCGTCGGCTTTTCGAGGAGAGACAGAGAGAGAGAGGAGACGGTGGTTTGTTCGAGAGCACCGGAAAGGGAGAACGAAAGGACTCGGTCTTAATTGATCGATTCGACGCGGCTTCGCGTCCTTTCTCCCTTCTTCTTTCTCTCGTCTCTCGATAGCGTGTTGTTGCTACCTTCGCCGTGGAAGGCTTCAACGCTGTCGAGTTCACCGTTACTCACCGTGTTCTCGCCGTGTCCCGGCAGAAGAGTCTCGTCCTGCACTTGAAGCGTCACGCGATACGGAGATTTCGGCAGGGGGGTGGTTTTCGCGAATATCACTGCAACAGAGAGATCCACGCGAAAGACGAGTGACGACGACCGGTCGCCGCGAGCGCTTCGCCTCCGAGCCTTCGCGCGAACTCACCGGCGAATATAGCGGTGTAGGGTACGAGCTTCGGCTTCTCGATCAGCGCGGTGCTGAAGCTGACGTTCAAAGCGTCGTGGACGTCTCCGAGGATACGCATGGCGTACCGATTGCTGCTGTTCGCGTCGGCGTCCTTCAGTATCAGGGTGTTCTCGGCCACCAGCGTGTTGCCCTGTCGAACGAACGGAAGATCGTTGGAAGATCCGCGACGGGACAAGGCGCGACGTCCGTCGGGAGCGAACGAGGAAAAGGCGAAGCGACGAGAACAAGAAATCCGAGCTTAATCAAGACGAAGCCCCGAGGCGTTCTCTCTCTCGCTCTCTATCTTTTCATCCGTTTTCCTCGGCCCTTTCGTCGTCGCTCCCCCGTGCCTTTCCGCGTCCAATCCGAAACAATGCCGGAAACGATCGCGAGAGAACAATGCGGACACGAGCGAGTCCGATTCGCCGCGAGGATACAGGAGGTTGCTCTCTCACCGCGGTGACGTTCCAAATCGAGCCGTTCTGGGCGATCGGAGGGTTGTCGTCTTGGTCCAAGACGTCGACGTGCAGCAGCTTGATCGGCGCGTACTGAACTCCGGTCAGTTCGTCCCAAACGACGCATCGAACCTGCACGGTGACCCTCGGCCCCGGGCCGGCCGGCGGCGGGCCCAGCGCGTCCCTGTCCAGCGAAGGGTTCGCGAACAGCGTGTCGTTTACCGCGGAAAAGTAATCCGTGCCTGGAAACGTGGTGTTCTTCGTTGAAACGATTTTTCCCCGGTTCTCCGAATCTCGCTGGCTTCCGATACGAGGATACGCGGGCCGAGACGGAAATTTTCGAGTCGAGAGACACGGAGACGCGAGAGCGCGTTATCGATTAATCGCGGCGCTACGGCAGGATTCTCGCGGATCCCGTAATTGGGGAAATTGCCCGAACCGTTCAGGGTTGTCGGGCGGCAGCCGCGTGGCCGTCGCGCCCCGAACCTCATCGATGTTTCCGGCGGGCGACGAGGCCACGCGGCTGCTCGTTCCGTCGCAGAGTTCGCCGGATAATTCGAACAGCACTTGCCGTTTAACAGGTTGTAGCCGGTGACGCGAAAGCTGGGGCAGAGGTCGGCGTAAAGGCGAGGTCCGAACGTGCCGATCATCGTGCTCGGCTGGTTCTCGTAGATTCTGTACCTCGACGCGTCCCAGAAGCACATGTCCTGCAAACGAGATCGAAACGAGTAGTCCTCGTCGCGTTCGCGAGATCCCGAGAGTCGAGCTGACCGCTCACCTGAACGTGGTCGCTGCAATTGATTCGCTTCTCGAGGATGGGCCAAACTCTGATCTCCGAGACGGCTCGGTCGGTCGACGACGATCCGTTCTCCTTCGCCAGGAGCACGATCGTGACGGGTTCGAGCTCGTCCGGCACTGCCAACCGAAACGCGAACGGTGTCGACACGAATATGTCTCTCCTCTCTCTGTCGGTACGCTTACCTCGATGCAACAGAAGAGCCTTCGTCTCGCCGTCTATGGAGGCGACGTCGCCGTGACGGGCCACGGTCGCGCGATAGCTGACACCCTTCGATTCCGTCGAGTCCTCGCGGAGCGTCCGCGGATGGAGCAGCTCGACGTTCCGCGACGAGACCGGAACCCTCACGGTCAAGTCCGATTGGGGGAAGTACAGTTCTGGAAGAAAGCCGCGCGTAGGTACAGGGTCGGGGCCGAGCGCGGCCGAGCGGGGCCGCCCACGCTCCCGTTCTTCGAACCGCGCTCGACCTTTATCGCGACGATTCGCCTACGAACGGAAGGGACGCGCTGTTCGCGATCGTATCCGGACGCGGCGGCGATCGGTTCTCGCGTCGTGCCTCGATAAACGACCCGCTCGAACGCGTCCACGACGGTTTTTCGATGAAACCGTTTTCGGTCCTTCCTCTCGGTTTCGCCTATCCGACGTCGAGACGGCCGACGCAAAGTTCAACGACGAGGGATCACGCACGGTCAGTTTCGTGGAAGCTACCTGTGTCAAGGTGAACGTTTAATCGATACACGGAAAGCCAGCCAGCCGTCCTTTCGTTTCGAGTATTAAAGCGACGCCTTTCGCCAGTTTAAAAAGGAACGCGAAAGGGGCTGCGAACGGGCATATTTCGGTGGTAGGTGTTTCGAGCGCGCGGCGATACATCTATACGAATCTCGGATTCGCGCGCTTCCTCGCTCCGAGTTCGCAGATACGAGAGATCGTTGATCCTGGAAACCCTATTCGTACATCGAGTTAGAATTCCCGAAAACAGAGACCGTGAATACGATACGCGCAGCCATACAACTCTGGACGCACAGCCCTCGCGAGCAGCGAACGCCGATCGGCGAGGATCTTCCGTGTCTTTTTCGGATCCGCGTGGCACGAGCGAGGGCGAGGGTAGACGCCGCCCCAACGCGCACGATCCCCGCACAGCCGTGTAAATTGACTCGTCCGTCTTTCGACCGTCTCTCCGTCGTCTCTCCGTCGTCTCTCCGTCGTCTCTCCGTCGTCGTTTCGGCTTTTCCCCCCTCCGCCCGCGTGGCCCTCTCTCTCCCTCGTTAACCAATTCCGTTGCCGAACAATCGTTGCTCGGCGTTGAAAGGAAAGGCCGCGCGCGAACGTGTAAATAACGAGAGAGGACTGTAGGGCGAGCGAGCGCACGCACGGACACCTGCGCGCATGTGGCATCGATAAATAGTTCCCCTTTTCCACGCGTTCCGTTCCTTAAATTGTCGCCCCGTATCCCCATTTTCCTGCCCGTTCGCTCGTTTCCCTCGATCGCCGGCGAAACGGTTCCCGACTCACCGATTTCGGAAATAGCCTAAACTAAATTTAGGTGTTACTTCGACACCCCGAGGAAAGATCCGACCAACTGTTGAGCGCCGTCGGAAACCGAACTTACGACCTCCTTAAAATCTCCGTTGATGTTTATCGGTTTCTAGGATGACGCGCCCGCTTTAAAACCGTCCGTCGACGCGCTTCCGAGAGTTCGATCCGAACGAGATTTCGTAATCCCTGTTCTCGGTGGTGTTCGCGGTGGTGTTCGCGACGCAGGTGTCCGCGCTTCCCCGAGAACCGTTTCGCCGCGAGAGGAAAAGACGCGGGGGGATGACACGCGACAAGGGCGAACAACGGTCGTTCGATTCGTGCCGTTTTACGGGCTACTCTAGCCGCTGGACGAGTTTACCTCTTTGACCGCGGAGCAAACGCGCCCCGGGGTCAGTTTTACCGGCAATAAGGTGCCCCGCGCGCTTAATCAAAGTTACGGTAAACACGACCTACTTTTTAAGCACCGTCTACGCGTCTACGTCTACGCGTCTACGTCTACGCCGCTCGTCGATCCGCTTCGCGACCGCCAACTTCCAGGCGAACCGATCGTTAAAAAAACTATGAACACGCGAGACGCGGTTCGCTATCCTCGACGATGGGATAGGACGAGGGATAGGAGACGTCCGATCGACTGTTTGCTCGGTGTACGTTTCGGTGTACGTTTCGGATGCAACGCGCAAACGATATACCGGACGCGAAACTACCACGGTTACCCGTTCCTCTTTCATTTTCGCGTCGTTTCGTCTCGTTTATCGTCTCGTTTATCCTCTCGTTTATCCTCTCGTTTATCGCCTCGTTTGCCGACTCGGCGTGATCGATAACGCGCGCGCGCGAGCGGTAATTACGCGTTTCGATCGTTCCGCCCGAGCGGGCGAATCGCGATTTTCGATTCTACCGGCGATTCCGCCGGTTTCGGCCGCGGAAGGTATCGAAAGCCCGCTGATTTCCCATGCGACGAATTCCCATCGACGCGGCTTCCCGCGTTACCCGGCCAGTTTCTGTTCGTTCAGCTGTCGTTGTCGCTGTCGCGCGTCGTTAACGAACGACCCCGTATATCATTCTCGTCGACAGGTAGAAACGCCGAAGAAACGGTGGCTCGGCAGTCCGCGCGAACAGACGCGCCGGGTCTCGCGCGGTCTGTTGGATTTGTATTTAATTAACGGAGGCTTTCGGAGGCTCGACATTAGCATACGCGTAATTCTCTGCGAGAAAGAAAGAAAGAAAGAAAGAAAGAAAGAAAGAAGGAATCGTTCGTCCCTCGTCGCGATCATCGACTGTTCGTCGAATCGAATTCGGCGAGGTTGCCGGATTCGCGAACAGACCGTTCCTCCGCCACCGCGGAGAATCGAGAGGGAAAAGGAAAGAGAGCGAGCGTTGTTAATATAGTTTTAGTATTTGGGTTACGAGGTGTGGCAAAACCGACAGGGAGAAAGCCCCATGGGATCGACGTAGTCGCCGCTTCGGTAGTCAGCCGCACTGGCATCGTTCGACGCTCGGCTGTTCTCGACATCGAGAATCCTCGACGAACCGATCGCGCGAAATCTCGGTTGGGTAGCCAATCGTGGCTTTTGCTCGAGGACTCGCGTCTCGACGCGAGAGGCGAAAAAGGAAAAGGCGACGGATCTCGATCGAGCAACCCCTCGCCGCAGGGGTGCGTAACGCGCGATCCTCTCTTTCTCTCTTTCGCTCCGTCCGCCTTCGTCTCTGATTAGAAATCGGCGTGACGGGGCAGTTGCGGCAGTTGCGGCAGTTGCGGCAGTTGCACCAGGGGCGAGGGTTTGCTTTCGAGAGCGGTGTCTGGCTAACGATTTCGAGGTTGCACGCAACAAAAGCCTTTCGCCTTTCTCCGACGGGAGTCGCGCCCCGTTGCCTCGTCGCCTCGACGAAAGGGAAAACTTCTTTCCTTCGGACGCTCGACTGAACGACGATTATCGGGAAGAGGCAAAGACGCCCGCTTGGAGTTGCATCCTTTGCGACGTACGAATTTCTATTATTACGTCTATTAGGTTCGTCCGTCTCGTAACTCGATATAAATCGGTCCGCCGTTTTGCCCGGACGGAGCTCGTCCGCGCTCCCGTCGGGTTTTTCTCGCGAATCGAGTTACCGAGCGCATTCCAGCGTTCGCACGCGAATGGAGAATCGATTTTCGGAAAACCAATAAAGCGACAAGTTTGTACGGCCGCTGGCGGCTATTGTCCGGCCGCGGCCGTGTGTTTCTCCGGCGGAATTGAAACGCGTATCTCGGTCCGCGCCGGGTTCGTTCGAAAAGGAAAAAGGGTAAACGGAGAAAGGGTGTACGCGCGTCGACACACCGGCTCGAGAGCAAAGGCCAGTATCGATCTCCGAGCTGCATCGGAATCACGCGAGACCGGCGTTGCACGCGACCTCGCGATATCGCGATTCCGTGATTCCGCGATTACGGTCAAGTGCGAATGTCGCCCGTCGACGATTTCGCGAGGATCTCCGCGGGCCGACGCGCGTCTCTTCGAAGTCGCCGGGGCGCGAGTTTCCACCTTTTCGCATCGACCTTCGATCGCCTCGAAACGTTCGCGACGGATCGTTCGACGAACCGATCGGCCGCGTCGAAACGGGTTCGTAGGACACGCGAATTTTAGCATACAATGCCGAGCCGCATTAATTCGCTAGGAGTACTGCGTAGCATGGCGTGACTTTGCGCAACCGACTAGATCGGCGCGGCGCGTGCTTCCAGCGTTTCGGAGTTCGCCGAATACCGACGAAAATCGACCACGCGTCGTATACGTATACGTATACATATATATATATTCGGTTCCGGGTAAAAATAACGCGACGATAAGACGAGTATCGACTCACCGGAGGCAGGTGTCTGCGAAGGTTGCAGCAGTAACAGCAGGAGAACCGCCATGGTTCCCGATTGATTTCGCGATCTCTCGCTCGCAACGATCGGGACCGTCGATCGCCGTCGGGCCGTGCGCCGCTCGAGGTCCTCCGCGTGCCCGCCGATCGAGCCTCTTCTCGACGAGCGATCTCCCTTTTCATCGGCCTGCCGAAGACGCCGGTGGTGGTCCTTTCCGCGGGACCCGAGGCATCTCGCGCGCTTCGAAAGCTTCGAGGGCTTCGAGAGCTTCGAGAGCTTCGAAGGCGAACCGCGATCTCGGTCTCGATCGCGTACTCGCATCGCTGATCGGAGTTAGCGTCCGCTGAGGCCGTTCGGTGCCGGCGAACGCGGGGTTTCCTTGGTCGCGTGCGTCGCGTGCGTCGCGTGCGTCGCGTGTGTCGCGTCAGCGCCGAATACGCATCTCATTGTTCGCCGCGCGGCTACGGGGTTCGAGCAGAGCGAGCGGGTTAAACGCCTGGGTTCGTCCTCGAGACGCAGCTTCGAAGAAGAGCCGACGCGCCGCGACGTTCCGGCGTTCCAGCCAGGACTGAGGACGTC